TAATGGCAGACAGAGAGTTTTGTCTGCTGCCCGGGCGGAACTCCAGCGCTTCCCGTCCGGGTCGCAGAGCCGGCCTTTGAAAGTTCCCCCAGCCCCGGTCCTCTCCGAGATCTCCGGCAATCCCTACTCCCACAGGGCGGGCAACGGCAGCTGGGAGACCTCCGTACCCTCAGCGACTCTCTCTGGGACCCTCCGGGTGCCGCGAACACCAGGCGGGGTCTCCCCGCCAATGGCGGGGAGAGACTCTCCCCATGGGCTCAGGTGTGCAACTCCAAAGTTTCCCTCTGCGTTTAGGAGTAATTGCGGGGGGTTTAGGTATGGTTCTGGTCACCTGTTTCCACCGTCGCTCCTCTGTTGTGTGCTCGCTCCTGCCCTAGATGTGTGTAGATCCTCTGGGGGAGTCCGTTGGAAGAAAGCCGTTTGAGGGTACTAGGCTGCTCGTCGGGGTCGGAGAGTTTTCACCTATTTCCACATCCTCCCGGAGGAAAGTCCGTCCGCCTTCCGATGTATAGTCGCGTGGGTATCTCAGACGTCCTGAGATGCTGTCTGGATATCCTTTGTCAAGCGATAAGTGTCCAAATAATTGTAGACTCAAAGGGGGAGAGACAAAGAGGACTACTCACGGCACCATCTTGGATCTTCTCTCCCCCTCCTTTTTTTTTAACAGAAGATTGTGAACTAACGAATATAAAAGAAATAGTGAACTTAAACAATCAACACTTTCACAAGATCCAGTAAAAATCTTGATTGAGATAAGGATTATCAATGGCATTCTGTAATCATGAATAGTTATTGCGAACCAGGATAGTCACAAAGTAGCAAAATATCACCGCCTCCAATTACTTACTAATTGCAAAGAGAAAAAGATACCTTTAAAAAGGAAAGATGTCTTTATCATGATCTCAACAAAGTTATCAAACTTAACAACATTACTAATTGGACCATTTGACATTATGTGCCTCCTGATATCACGGAATAGGAAGTACACAGTATTACCTATGAAGTATTCCTGTCAAAAATAATTAAAGCTTAATCTAATCACATTCTACCTAAGTTCCAGGTTATAGGGAATAGTTAAATTACACCAAGAGGAAATAGGCAAAGAGTTAAATGTCTTGTGGGAAATCCTACAAGAAAATTTATATTTTAAAACTACAGATCAAAGAAAATGATTCTGAAAAAATAGATGGAGAGAAAGAAATAAATTTGAAATTCACTTTGTTAACAGAATGCACGTCAAATGTTAGTTAAATGAGTGATAAATGAATGAAAATATGGCTCCTCCTTTCAAGAAACTTTTTTTAGAGGGATGATTAATGATAGCTGCCATTTATTGAATACCTATCCTGTCCAGAGATTAACCTTATAAACATTATTTCAATTAGTACACAACAATATGAGATAGACCTTTTCATCCCCTTTTTATAGATGGAAAATGATTTGAAAGTGTTAATCATTTGTACAAGTTTGCATCATAGAGGAGACAGGTTTTGCATCCAAACTCCACACTTTTTCTGACATAACCCACTGCTTTCCATAACAGAGACATTAAGTGTCTACCGTGAATATGGTACCCTACTCGGGGTCTTGATCACACTAGAAGATTAGTGAGCATCCAGGTCATGATCATAAGTCAGGGTTTAGTGGGAGAAAAATGAAGTGGGCAGCAATAATAAAAATCACAAACCAACAAAAAACTGCAACAAAACATTTGCAGCTTTTGTGAATTAGCCCTTAAACACACAAGGATTGTCTGGATATATGATAATTCAGTTTTGTTCAATATTACTGGATGCTAGATATGTTTCCATTGGACATCTTCAGGTCCTGTGCGGTTGTCCACTCACCTTCAGTCCTACTCCCTATGTCTCTGTGCTTCCCTGATTGAAATCTCTTCTGTTTCTCATCTTCTCAAACTTTTACATTCTGTGTCTGAACCTGTCTCCCTGGTCATTTTACATTACGGCAAACTAACGCTCATCCACAACTGAGTTTTCAAAGATTTCTTGTATGTCTTTGCCTCTCTTCCGAGGACATAACTTCCCCCATAGCCCTCTCATCATTCCATATCCCAGACTTCACAGGGTCAGAAAGTGGTGTCACTTTACTAAACTGCTTCCAGATCATTAACTGCTCCCACACACAAGAAAGTCTTGATGAAGTGATGTCAGAATCATGGCAGAGTGAGTTCTCCCAATAATCTCCTCCCTCCACCATACAACAAAAAATACATTCATACTCCAACGGAGAACATCCAAACACAGCACAAAAGATATCTGAGAGACCCATGCAGCCATACAACAGAGGGTGGAGAGGCTGGAGCCCCCTGCAGAGGAGGTGGAATGGGGTAAGAGATAACTTCATTTCCTCCCCAAAAGACTGCGATCTGGGACTGCGGGCAGCCTCCAAGAGGGAAGGAAGTGGGAAGGGGACATTGGTTTGTGGGAAAGTCAAAGATCCCCAAGGGCATTTGCAGTCTAGAGGGAAGCCCTTTGTTGGGGTGAAAGCTATCCCAGGGGATGACTCCATCAAGCCAACACCCTATGAGAGCAGATAGCAAGAGTAGAGTGGGAAAACCCCAAGAGCACCCAGAAGAAAATGACTGTTCCCCTCACCAGGCCAGCACTGGCTCCAGAGCCTGGGATCTTGGTTGAAGGCAGTGGACTCAGAATATGTGACTCTTGACCACCATTCAGTGGTGATAGGCAGTAACTGGGAACAGATAATACCACGATGTGCAAAAACAGAGCCACACCCTCTATCAGTATCAAAAATTATATTAAATCTTCAGACCAGAGAGAAAATGACAAGTACCAGAAATCAGTCCTGAGGACACAGAAATATGTAATCTGAATGACAAAGAATTTAAAATAGCTATCATCAAAAAACTCAATGAGTTAAAAGAGAAGGTAGAGAAACAATTCAATGAGTTAAGGAGCTACTTCACAAAAGAGGTTGAAATTATAAAGAAGAATCAATCAGAAATACTAGAGATGAAAGACACAATGGAAGAAATAAAACAAAACATGGATTCCCTGAATGCTTGAGCAGACATCATAGAAGAGTGTATCAGCATAATTGAAGCTACACATGTTGAAATGCTCCAGATAAAGGAAGAGAGAGAACTAAGACTAAAAAGAAATGAAGAAAGTCTCTGAGAAATATCTGACTCAATTAGGAAATGCAACATAAGAATTACAGGTATTCAAGAGGGAGAAGAGAAGAAGAATGGAACAGTTTGTTCAAAGAAATAATACCAGAGAACTTCCCAAACCTAGGAAAACAGATGGAAATTCATGTGGAAGAAGCTACCAGATCTCCTAAATATGTGAGTGTAAAAAGATCTACTCCAAGGCAGATGGTAGTGAAACTGGCAAAAGTGAATGGCAAAGAAAGAATACTAAGGGCAGCAAGGCAGAAGAAAATAACCTACAAAGGGATCCCTATCAGGCTTTCAGGCAATTTCTCTGCAGAAACCTTACAGGCTAGGAGAGACTAGAATGACATATTCAAATCTTTGAAGGAAAAAACTTTCAGCCAAGAATACTCTATACAGAAAAAATATCCTTCAGATATGATGGAGAAATAAAAACATTCCTAGATAAACAAAAGCTAAGGGAGTTTGTAGCCATGAGACTCTCCCTACAAGAAATCCTCAAGAAGGCCCTCACACCTGAAAAAAAAGGTGGGGGGTGGGGGGGAGAAAGAGATTATAAAGCATGGAGTAAGGAGGTAAATAGGTAGACCAAATCAGAAAATCGTAGCTATACATCAGAACAGGTTAGCAAATACTCAAGTATAGCACTAAAGATAAAGGGAAGGAAACCACCAAAAACAAAGATAACCTTGTCATTTTAACCACAAACTAGCAACACAAGATGGAATAAGATGTAAGAAAAACAACTTAGGAGGGGAAGAGGAAAGGGACTGAATCAGTTTAGTCTAAGGAAATAAGAGGCCATCAGAAAATGGACTGTCTTATCTATGAGATTTTGAATACAAACCTCATGGTAACCACTAAAAAAAAAGCAGAAATAATAAGTAAGGAGAAAACAAAGAAACACAACATAAAAAACTATACAACTCAATTGGTAGACCAAAATACAATGGATGAGAAACAAAGGAAATTCAGGAGAACCAGAAAATGAGTGATAAAATGGCAGCATTAAGCCCTCATATATCGATAATCACCCTAAACATAAATGGATTGAACTCTCCAATAAAAAGACAGAGTGGCAAGATGGATTAAAGAACAAGACCCAACAATATGCTGCCTCCAGGAAACACATCTCAGCTCCAATGACAAACAAAGGTTCAGAGTGAAGGGATGGAAAACAATACTCCAAGCTAATGGCAAACAAAAGAAAACAGGTGTTGCAATATTTATATCAGACAAAGTAGACTTCAAGATAAGACAGGTAAAGAGAGACAAAGAGGGGGAGTATATAATGATCAAATGGGCATTCTACCAAAAAGATATAACACTTATAAATATCTATGCACCCAACACAGGAGCACCAAAGTACATGAAGCAACTATTAACAAACCTAAAAGAAGATATTAATGTATGTACCCCTATGTTCATTGTAGCACTATTCACAATAGCCAAGACATGGAAACAATCCAAGGGCCCATTGACTGATGATTGGATAAAGACATGGTATATATATATATACAATGGAATACTACTCGGCAGTAGAAAAAGAAAAAAATCATGCGATTTGCAACAATGTGGATGGACCTGGAGGGTATTATGCCAAGGGAAATAAGTCAGACTGAGAAAGACAAACACCATATGATTTCACTACTATGTGAAATATGAGCAAACACATGGACAAAGAAAACAGTTCAGTGGTACCAGGGGAAGGGCGGTGGGGGAGCACTTATTTGGTGACAGACAAGAAATACTGTACAACTGAAATTTCACAATGATGTAAACTGTTATGAACTCAAAAAGAAAATACATGTTACATCCAAGAAAGTCTCTTAAATCTCTAGCCACCTCACTACTCCTAGTTTTACTGCCAAGTATAGGTCTTCTGATTACTGCCTACAATCCGTGGAGTGTTCTGGGAATTAGAAAATGTAATCTTTATAAAATTCTTACCGCAGTGCCAGGCATACAAAAATGACTTAATCCTTATTAGCTGTTGTAATTATTATTAATTGTAGACTTTGACTCACAATCTTCTTTTCCTTCCCAACTCCTGCTATTATTCTGGGTGGATTTATTGTGAAAGGGATGATTCATCCATTCACACAATAGCCTTTGAGACCCTGGGGTTGAACTATTCAGTGGCCTTTATCTCCTCTCCGTATTAGCCAAACACTTATAGGACCTCATCTTGGAATTCTTCCATATTATAAGTACTCATTGTTCTAGCCTCCCCTCTAATTCAAACTCCGTCTGAAGACGAGGGATGGGGAATGATCTTCCTAAAGTACTAATATGATTACATCCTCAACCAGTTAAAAACATCTTCAATGGCTCATCCTAGTAAAATTCAGCACCTTTAGCTTTAACTTCACATCTTGACTCAGTTTACTTCTTCTCCCTTAATCTTATGCCGTGTACACTACACCCTTAACTCTCAAATCTCCCAACTCCAATGAAACTTTATCCTCTTTCTCTTTCTAGCCTTGAGTTTTTGCAAACACTGGCCCTTAGGGTGGGGATAGTGGACAGCGCTTTCTTCCTTATAAGCCAGATTCTCTGACTTACATCTCAATGTATTTAGAGGACTACTCCTGTAGCATACCTTTCCAAATCCCTTCTCTGACACCCGCCCCTACCCTTTGTTTTATCTCAAAATCAGTGTCCAAGTCAGTGTCCCTCCTGAGATGGCATGGCTATCCAGTGTGGATTGCACATTGTAGCACTTTGACCCTACTGAATTATAATTTTGCCCCTACAGTTTACTTATCACTCATTTCTACAAGAGCGTAAATTCTTTGAGGACAAAACCTGGTCTGATCGAGTTTCTTTTTACATTTCCAGTGCCTAGTACTGCCTGGAACACAGGAGGGACTCAAGAATGATTAACTGAGTCAATGAATCAATCTCATCTATTTGAGCAGAGAACTTGATGAAACCGTTTCACAAAGCGTCACAAGGTAAGGTGATCTCCTGGAATAAATCTATATCCCATCTCCTCAGGGACAGAAGTAACTCTTACCTGACAACCAAAGGCTCTTTTGTCTTCTTTTACATTTAATTAGATGGCTAGAGATGGAGTGTATGCATAAATACCCCAAAGGGAATTTAAAGATCTATGAGTTTACAGTAACATTTCTACAGCATTTGCTTTCTTCTGCCTCTTTACATCTACCAGGAAAAGGTGAGTGAGATCAGATTTTTAAAATGTAACTGAAATATTTTTTCCAATTGCTTTGTATTTCAAATACTAAACAAAAATTACTGAATTTATTTTTTGACAGCATGAAAAGTGAAAATAGTTTTGTCGTTACCGAGCCCTAAGGGACCAGTGACCCACAAGTGGGTCCTTTTACTGGGAGCCACTCAGACACCAACAGAACAAGATGGGGTTCAGAATAGCAGAGCAGAAACGTTATTCATTGATCACCGAGCGGTGGAGGCAGAGCTCCTGCCCTACAGCATCTTCTCCCTGAAGGGAAGGTGAGCAGGGTTCTTATGTGACGTGAAGGGGAAGGTGTCTCCCAGTCATCCCTCAGGGTGCAGGCATTTGGGGCATGTGCAGATCTTCCCTTCTTGCACAGGGTACCTTTTGCACATATTACTTTTTGTGCGTGGCACCCCGTGCCATCTTGGACCTTTCTGGTTTGGACCGGTTCTGCCGTTTGGCCACCTGACATTGTTCTGCTCTGGTTTCTATAAGCAAGCACAACTTAAAAACAAAGCATTAGATGTGGAAAATGTTTTAGGGACTTCCCTGGGTGACATGGTCGTTTTTTAAACATTTAGTTTGCTATTAAATCAAATGAATTTGAAAAAATATAAATAGTTTTAAAACATTTTCCTTATAGATTATTTTATTTAACTGCAAATTAGATAATTTTCAACCAAAACTATTCTTTGAAAGCTAACTGACTAAGCTTTTGATCAAAGCACACTCTAACCAAAAACGTTTTCAAAATAAAATTCACTTTGCATGGTCTTTGTACAAACCTGGAAGTAGACCAAAGTGAAATTTTCCTTCTTATAAAGGAACAGCCTTTAGTGGAATGTGCTAAAGTATCTTTGCACTTGAGAAATTATAAGAATTTTGACAATTGAAATAAACTTTTTGTGATTGTATTATATACTTTAAAAAATATTTGAAATTACTTCAAGTTGCTGTGGTTATCCTGTGCTGTGTGACTTCTTAACCTTTCAGTATGTCTGGGTAGATATGGGTAGACGTAAACATAAATAAGCATGTCTGATTTGGAAACTTCTTTGCACACTAAAACTAAGGAGAGTTCTAAAGAAGGGGGTTATTTCAGAAGAATAAACTGTTGTGAGTGAGATTTCTAATTTGTCAAAAGTGGCTACTCTTAGAATTATTCTTAGTTTACTAACTGTTCCCCAAAGGAATCCTATCTGGTTTTGATACTGGCTCAGCACAGGGTTGACATAAGGGAAGCCATATTGTAGAAAAGAAACTATATTGTAACTTTGAATGACCTCTGATTAACTAACCCAGCTGGATATGCACCCTCCAGGAAATATACATGTGATGCTGGCCCTGATATCAGTTCCCCTACATTAAATCCAGCATATGTGGGATTAAAACCAAAGCACTCCTTCCCTGCTTACTCCCTGGCTCCCTGGCTCCAGAATCCACTATCTGCCATGGAGACAAACAACCAAAGTCACCCACCTGGATTCCTTATCATCTCCTCCTCCTCCCTGCAAACAGCCTTCCAAGGTCCAACGTAAGCTGGTGGGAAAGCTCCAACCAGCAAGGCCACTGATTTGCCCCCCCCCATCCACAAGCAGCCACATTCCTCACAAACCTTTAAAATCCCTGACCTCCACTCTTTCGGGGAGACTAGACAAAATGAAATGAATTTGAGGGCTCACTCTCGTCTTCCAGCTTATAGCATGCAAAATAAAAACCCTTTCCTGGCTATATGCTGGGCATTCCAGTGGCCAAAAGGGAACCTATGTTTGTAGGCACTAACACATGCTCTAGATTTTATGGCCCCTCCCAGCTGCGATAAGTCAATAACTTTGTCCTTCTGAGTTTCTTAGGAATGTGATGACCCCCAGGCAGAGAGTCTATGCTGACAGCCATCATTAATGACAACTGAAAGATCTGGGTATAGGGCATTGCTCCTGCCTCTGACACATATACAGTAAAACAAAAGATTGTCAGGAACTAAGACCAGATGTCTGCCCTACCCCAAGATCAGATGTCTACCCACACCCAGAAAACAGCGCCTATATAACTGGCCTGTAGTCTTTGTTCTGTAAGATGGTTCTTTTTAGTTGGCCGTCTTCTCCCTTGGTAGCAAGCTGCAATAAAACCGTTTCTCTCTTACCACCTTGCCTCTGAAGTACTGGCGTTTCTTGCGGTGGGCAGATGACCCCCCCTTGGGCCATAACAGTTTTATCTAAGAAATGGAATGCTAAATTAATCCTTAAATCACTGACTAGCTAGAGTGTCTTAAGAAAGGCAATGTGTTTACCTCAAACATTATTTTTAAAGTTTAATACAAGTGTTTTAGTTCAAATGAATGTGAATACTTTCAGAAAAGTGCATTTGAAGGAACTGTACCATGAGTGAGCAGTCCAAGTATTTACTACCTTCTGTTATAGCAGTTCCACTCTTCATTTGCATTTGCTTCTTTCTAAAAATTTGCTTAATTGTCATGATCTACTTGCAGTTCTCCTAACAGCTCATGGGATCTCTTTCCCTTTTCTTTCTTTGCCCCATGCCTTACTGGCCAAATTTACTCCCCTTTTCTCCCAAGGTTAGAGTTAGGAGTTAACAAACTCAGCTCCACCCCTGCAAACAGACCAACTGTTTCCACAATCTCAGCCTAAATATCTCACTAGTGCTTTAGAGTGTGCAGTTCTTACCAGAGCTCGGGCTCCCACTTTGCCTTTCCTTATTACTATTTTGATCACAGCTTCCAGAATATCCTCTCTCACTCTCACTTTGATCAGCTATCATTTACAAGAAGTGAAACACATCCATTTTAAGTCTATAACTTGATGTTGACAAATATATACTGTCATGTAATTTCCACTCAAATTGTGATATAAAATACTTCCATCACTTCAAAAAGTTCAGTTGTGCCCCTTTGAGATCAGTCCTCTCCCATCCCCTGGAACCCACTGATCTGCTTTCTGTCACTATGGTTTATCTGTTTCTAGAATTTCACATAAGTGGATTCCTACAGTATGTAATCTTTTGTGCTGTGCCAGGAGTAGTGTGAGGGGAGTGCTTTTGTGTCTAACTTCTTTCATTTAGCATAATGTTTTTGTGATTCCTCTGCATTGTTGCCTGATTCTGTAGTTTGGCCTGTTGATTTCACCAAATCAATTGAATGGCTATACCATAATTTATTTATCTACTCACCTATTGATGGATATTAGGTTGTTTCTAGTTTTTGGTTGTTGTGAATAAAGCTGTTTTAAAGACTTGCTGTATTAGTCTTTGTGTGGACATAGAATTTATTTCTCTTGGCTAAATACAAGAATGGGACTACCAAGTTGTATGACAAGCATTTAATTTTATAAGTGATAGTTAAACTTTTTCCAAAGTGGCTGTACCATTTTACGTGCTTACCAAAAATGTATGATGATGTGGGCTCGGTGAGCCGAGGAGTTGAAAGAAAGACTTCTTGGACTCTCAAGGTCTGGTAGTAATGCTCTTTTATTCAGAGAATAGCATGAGGACAGGATCCATAGGCAGTGAAGAGCTGCAATGCGTTGAGGGTAGGGCTCAATTTATAAGGCATAGGTATGCGGTTATTTATTGCAAAACAAAGGAAAGATCATGTAAAAAGAAGTGGTTAAAGTGGTATCAGTGTAGGTGGGGTCTGCTTATCATGTGGTCATATACCTTTAGATATGAATCAAGTCAGCATGTCCTATACTTCCCGGAGGATGATATAGATCAGTATGTAGGCCGGAACACCTTGACCTTCTCTCCCTGGAACAGCCTTGATCCTCATCATATGACAGTTACAGTTGCCAAATTTTGATATTGGAAGTCTTTATAATTTTAGCATTTAGTGGATATGGAGTGGTTTCTCATTATGATTTTAATTTTCATTTCCATAATGACTAATACTCATGAGCATCTTTTCATGTGCTAATCTGCCATTTACTTCTTATTGAGACGTGCTTAGTTGCATTTACCTTCCTCTCTCTTTTACTCGGAGTGTATTGAGCTTTGATTTGTTGATTTAAAGTTTGCCTCACATGATAAATGTTCAGCCATTATTTCTTCAGACCTTTTTGTCTGAACCCCTACTCCCTCCTTGCTAAGATTAAGTATATGTGTGATGTATTTTAAGCCACATTATGTTGCTCTATTCAGTTTTTAAAAATATTTTCCCTCTGAACTTCATTTTGATTATTTTCAATTGCTTTGTCTTCAATTTCACGTCTTTTTTCTAAAGTATTATGGTGTCTTATCTGTTGTTAATCTCATCTAGTGTTTCTTTCATCTCAGTTGGTTATATTTGTCACATCAAGAAGTTTAATTTGGATCTTTTTACAGTTTTCATTTCTCTTCTTATGCTTGTGCTTTTCTTTAACCTTCTTGAGATATGAAGTATATTTTTAATAGCTGTTTTAAAGTCTTGTCTACTGATTATATTAGCTGTGTCTTTTCTAGGTATGTATTTTGGTTTTTTTTCTTTTGGTATTGGGATATGTTTTACTGTTAAACTGTATGCCTGGTAATTTATGATTACATGCCAGTATCATCAATTTTATGTTATTGGATGTTGGATTTTTTTTAATTTCTTTAAATATTTTTGAGTTTCTGTTCTAAAATACAGCTAAATTACTTGAAATCCATTTGATCCTTTTGAGGCTTATTTTAAGCTTTGTTAGAGTGGGCCTGAGAGCAAATCCAATCCCTCTTATTCCATCACGCCCAGAAGTGGGAATTCATTCAGAACCTTTTTGGATAGCAGTTCTCTCAGGACTTCTCTAGGTAAGAGACATATAACAACTTTAACACATGATTTTTTTAAAAGACAGACAATTTCCCAACAAAACCTGACATGAAAGAGACAATATTGAATGGTAGCTAAGAGTTTCTGGAATAATTCAGATCTGGTTTAAATCTTATTTCTGCTGCTGTGCAACCTGGGCTAGTTACCCTTTTTAGGCCTTGACTTCATCTGTAAAATAAAGAAAATAATAGCCTTATCAGGGTTTGGGTGAATTAAATGGAATAAGGAATGCAGCACATTTAGTGCTATTATCATAACTTAAAGCATCAGATTCCCTTAATATGTCAGGTATCAGACAGGTTTTTGCAGAGAAACTTAAAAACAAACTTGTAACTATTACCAAGAATGATAACTAAATATTGGGTACTGATTAAAAATCAAAACATGAAATACTCTGTCATAACATCCAATTTCACAGTTTAGATGGTTAAGCAGTAAGTGGACTTTGCACTGAAAACCTACTAACAAATAATGAGATGCAATCTGAGCTTTTTACTCCCACTAATTCATCTCCAGTCTACTGGATTAGAAATATAATTCACAAGACGTTATAACAAAAGAAGATCTCAGGAATTATTTGTAAACCATATATTCAACAAAGGGCTACTATCTAGAATATATACAGAACTCTGAAAACTCAACAGTAAACAAAAAATCCAATTAGAAAATGAGCAAAAAACATAAAGAGACATTTCACCAGAGATATACAGATGGCACCTGAAAAGATGTTCAACTTCATTAGCCTTTAGGGAAATTAAAACCAAAATGGGATATTATTGACATCTCTTAGAATGGTTAAAATAAGAAAAAAATAGTGACAATACCAAATGTTGATGAGGATGTGAAGAAATTAGATCACTCATATATTGCTGATGGGAATATAAAAATGGTAGAGCCACGCTGGAAAACATTTTGGCAGTTCCTTAAAAATCTAAACGTGTGGAGCCAGCCCACTGGCACAGTATTTAAGTTTGTGTGCTCCACTTTGGTGGCCCAGGGTTCACAGGTTTGGATCCCGGGGCACAGATCTATGCACTGCTCATCAAGTCATGTTGTGGTGGCATCCCACATAAAAAATAGAGGAAGACTGGCACAGATGTTAACTCAGCAATAATCTTCCTCAAGCCAAAAGAGGAAGATTGGCAACAGATGTTAGCTCAGGGACAATCTTCCTCAACAAAAAAAACAAAGCAAAAATCTAAATATGCATGTACCATTTGACCCAGCAATTGCACTTGTGTGCATTTATCCCAGAAATATGAAAATTTATGTTCACACAAAAACCTGTACATGAATTTTTAGAGTAATTTTATCCATAATAGCCAAAAACTAGGATCAACCCAGATGTCCTTCAATGAGTGAATGGGGAAACAAACTGTGATTCATCCATTCCAATGGAATGCTCTTTAGCGATAAAAATAATGGACTATTGATACATACAACAACTTAGATGAATTTCCAGAGAATTATGTTGGGTGAAAGAAACCATCCCAAAACATTACACACTGCATGATTCCATTTTTATGTCATTCTTCAAATGGCAAAATTATAGAAATGGAGAACAGATTGGTGGTTTTTAGGGGTTAAGGAGGGCTTTTGAGTGGGAAGCAAATGGGTGGCTATAAAAGGGCAAAATGAAGGCTCTTTGATGTGATGGGAATGTTTTGTATCTTGACTGTATGAACATTAGTATCCTGGTTGTGATAATGTAAAAAAATAAAAGTTTGAAAATACCAATGGGGAAATAAACACTCTTATATAATGCCAGGGAAAGTCCAAATTCCATTTTGGAGGGCATTTTGGTAATATCTACCCAAATGACAAGTGAGTATACCTTTTGAACAGTAATTCTAGCTCTGTGAATATACTTGTGAAATGACTGTGCACAAGGTTGTTCACTGAAGAATTGTTAGAATTGCTACTGAAATAATCCAACTGTCCATCAACAGAGGATTAGTTAGATAAATTACTGTGTATCTACACAGTGGAAAACTCTACAGCTGTAAAAAAGAGAAAATGGAAGGGATCTATTTACTGACACAAAAAGATCTCGAAGAAATAATGTCAAGTGAAAAAAAGCAATGGGCATAACTATGTTTCCAATATTCTACTTTTCATGTAAAAAGAGAAATTTAAGACTATCAGGATTTTCTGTATTTGCCAAAGAAACTGTGTACACATGCACCAGAAATAAAAACACTGAGCATGTGGTCATCTACATGTGTGTGGAGGGCTGGTGGGAAGTGGGTGGATAGAGAACAGGATTGGAAAAGAGATTTTCACTGTACTTTTTGTATTTCTTGATCTTTCATAAATGTGCGTATTATCTATTCTGAAATTAAACTTAAATTAATATGTTAACGTCATCTAAGCCTAGCAGATGGACACAAAAGTAATCATTACATAATTTTGGTGGATGTGTTAAATTGCTAATGTGAATAGACTTTATACACTAAATATTCAATATAATTCTGTTAATATATTTAGCACAAATATCAGTTTAGGAACACTTTTTTTTTTTTCACTGAAGAAGATTTGCCCTGAGCTAACATCCACTGCCAATCCTCCTCTTTTTTTCTGTATGAGCCACCACCATAGCACGGCCACTAACTGACGAGTAGTTTAGGTCTGTGCCTGGGAATGGGACCCGGGCTGCTGAAGCGGAGCACATGGAACCTAATCACTAGGCCATTGGGGCTGGCCCAAGAAGTGCTTTTTATAAATAGTAATCTTTTAATCTTCAAAAACATAAAGCCAAACAGGGAATATCTGGGATCAAGTCTGGCCTAAGGGTACTATTTTCAGTGATTTTTATCACTGTATCACAATTGAAGCCACTTCATTGTAGTAATATATACTTTAGCTGTGGACATTTTTCTTGCTCTTTTGTAGGCATGTGCCTCTACTCTGACCCTTTGGGAGGAAACTCTAATGCATCCTGGATAGATCTATAGGTGACTAGATCAATGAGCTGTAAATGGAAAGCCTCAATCAACTTAGTAACTTAATAGCATATAACCAAAATGAGGGGTTCTTTGAATTCAATCTATTTTTGTGTTCTAATCAAGATCATAAAAATCAAATAATAAGACATATGCTTTAAATCCCAGGAGAATCCACAAAAGTTGAGGCTCTATACCTCCTTCACATTTAAAATGTAGCTAAAACTGTTTAGTTCAAGGATGCCCAAAACCATAGGAAAAGATGCAAAGAGTATAAGCTTTTCTATACATGGCTCTAAGTAATCACTGTCCAGTAGAAAGATAACGCCAACTACATATGCAATCATAAACTTTTTAGCAGCCACATTAAAAAGCTGAAATTAATTTTAATATATTTTATTTATTTTATTCAAAATATTACTTCAATGTGTAATTAATATAGAAAAGCTTACTTATATATTTTTCGAACTAAATCTTCAAAATCTACTGTTTTACAGTTAAAGTACATTCAATCTGTATCTAGATTTAATAAAATTTATAATTGAAATGGTAAACTTACATACCCAAGTTGTTCCAAACAAACTTAAAAATTTTCCAGTAACAGAATCTAGTATTCACTGTTAAATTTAATTTAAATTAATTAAATTAGAAATTTATGTCAGGGGCTGGCCCTGTGGCCGAGTGGTGAAGTTCTTGTACTCCGCTTCGGCGGCCCAGGGTTTCCCCGGTTCCGATCCCGGGCGCGGACATGGCACCGCTCATCAGGTCATGCTGAGGTGGCATCCCACATGCCATAACTAGAAGGATCCACAACTAAAGATATTCAACTGTGTACCGGGGGGCTTTGGGGAGAAAAAAGAAAAATAAAATCTTAAAAAAGAAATTTATTTCAGCAGTTGCATCAGCTACTATCCTCTTCACTTGAACCCTTTAACTACTAGAGTAACAATTTTTGACAGTTAGGCTTGAAACAGCTTCATGTCTACAAGGTCTCCTAACCCATGATCCTGTCTTTTTCTGTTTTAAATCAACCAGATTAGTGGTTTCATCAAATATAGATTAAAATATTAGAAGCAGGTTATGGAATACTCATGAGTTCTAAGACGAAACATTGGTTATATGTCACTAGTAAGATGAGAAATACAATGTTGTAAAAGCTGAGTTTCAGGGAGAAAAAAAGGTTGAACAGAACCCATGTTAGCAATGCCTTTTTATAAGAACCTATCTAAATAATTTGCTTTAATGAAATTCATTAAATAATAATGACTTTGGCTGTCTTGTTCATTCATTTGCATCCTATTATTCCAACAAAGGATTTGAGGCAACTTATGTACTAACTCATAATTTTAGTCATTTTTTTCAGCTTTACTGAGGTACAATTAACAAATAAAATTGTAAGATATTTAAAGTGTACATTGTGATGATTTGATACATTTATACACTGTAAAAGTGATACTGGCTCAATATAAGGTTGACATGAGGGAAGCCATATTGTAGAAAAGAAACCATGCTGTAACTTTGAATGACCTCTGATTAACTAACCCAGCTGGATATGCATCCTCCAGGAGATATACATGCTCTGTAGATTTTATGGCCCCTCCCAGCTATGATAAGTCAATAACTTTTTTCTTTTGAGTTCCTTAAGAATGTGGTGACCCCTGGGCAGAAAGTCTATGTTGATAGCCGTCATCAATGACAACTGAGGGGCTGACCCAGTGGTGTAGTGGTTACATTTGCACGCTCTGCTTTGGCGGCCCGGGGTTTGTGGGTTAAGATCCTGGGCACAGACCTAACACTGCTTGTCAAGCCACGCTGTGGTGGCATCCCACAAAAACTACAGAAAGATTGGCACAGATATTAGCTCAGCAACAATCTTCCTCATCAAAAAAAAGAAAAAAGACAACTGAAAGATCTGGGTATAGGGCATTGCTCTGGTCTCTGATGCATATACAGTAAAACAAAAGATTATCAGGAACTAGGACCAGAAGTCTGCCCCACCTGAAGATCAGATGGATGCCTCCACCCAGAGACCAGATGCCTTCCCAACTTGGAGACCAGCCTCTTATATAACTGTCCTATAGTCTTTGTTCTGTAAGATGGTTCTTTTCAACATTAGTTGACCATCTTCTGCCTTGCTAGCAAGCTATAGTAAAACTCTTTCTCTCTTCCACCTTGCTTCTTGATACTGGCATGTCTTGCAGCAGGCAGACGACCTCTCCTTGGGCAGTAACAAATTCCCACAAATTTTGCACACATATTATTCCCTGATGTGTTGAGAAAGTTTTAAATATCTTTTCTATTTAAAGACTTCTTCATTTAATTAATATTATTGTCCTCTCTAACACACTCTTACATTTTCATTTTTACATGATCATATCTCTTTTATTTTCCAGTGGTTCCAAACAAACGGAAATCAAGCAAGTGTTTTTCATATTCTGATCAGCTTTTACCTGAAGGAAGTGTGGAACATGCAAAGACAGTAATAAATGTATGCTCTGTCTACAGCTTAATGAAATACACAATGGTCTACAGTGTCTTTTCAAATTAGTTTCGCAGGAATGAGGAAATATGCATGATGGCAATCACATAGTAAGTCAAATGAAATAAAATCACATTCTTGAATTTCATGGTAATGATAATTTGTGACTGAAAATTTTGCATATTTTTCTTCATAATTTTATTGCCCCCTAACTCATAGAATTTTAGGGGGGCAACTCATAAATAATCCAATGGGTGAGGGCAAGTTTTCAACCTCAGTATGATCGGTTCTTTTGGATGAAGATACTGATTCACATTTAGATTTGGCTGCTAATAAATAGAATTGTGGTTCTTATCAAGAAGAGCAATCGTTTTTGTGAAGTGAGCTTGCTCCCTACTGTATCATTCCCAGCACAGATCTTACAGTAGTTGAAAGCAAACCCATAACACAACCCATCCTTACTTATGTTTGACAAATAAGAGAAACCAAAGACGAAAGTGTCTATGAGAGAGATTCTCAACCTGAGTTCCTTCGTTCTCCACTGACAAACGCTGAATTTTGCGCAATTTTCTGGATCAGAAACAAATTCCAGAATGGGTTTATGACTCCATAAAATGCTAAGATCTATAGTAACAGGGACTCTGTTTATCTACCCTGTCCCATTTCACCTAAAAATTGAAAAGTACTCTGTCTAATCTTCAACCTCATTTACTCTTCCTATTGTCTTTATCCTTCATTTTCCTTCTTTATTTTGAATAATAAATACTGAATTTATTCTACTGTGGATTAATATTTTTATTTTATTGTGGATCTCTGGATTTGTGTGTCTATCGTAGAGTATAAGCTTCTTAAGACCTTCATCTGAGTCACTATAGTCAATTTAGTGAGAAATTTTGTACCAGTGTTTAAAAAATAACTGTAATAAGAGTTTTCTAAGTCTGGACTCCAAAGTGTGGTGCTTATCTCACATGGTCTTGGTGCTCATGATGTTGCATTACATTTACCCCTAGGTTGCAAGCTGACTTCTAGCTAAAGGAGGAGAGATGGCCTCGTTAAACTCTATCCCCAGCTTAGGCACAGTGCCAGGCTCATATTTCAAACTACAAAACAGTATTCATGAAGAGAAGAGTCTCTGTCCAACCCCAAATGCCTCATTCCACGCCCAAGCAATAATCACCATTAGCAGTTTAGTAGTCATCCTTTCACACTTTTTCTTAGTATTTATTTATCACCTCCCAGTTTTATTGAGATATAATTGACACATAACATTGTATTAGTTCTGGGTGTACAGCATGATGATTTGATATTTGTATATATTGCAAAATGATTACCACAATAAATTTAGTCAACATCCATCACCTCACAAAGTTACAATTTTTTTTTCTTGTGATGAGAACTTTTAACATTTACTCTCTCAGCAACGTTCAGATATACAGTACAGTCTGGTTAACTGTAGCCACCATATTGTTCATTATATCCCCAGAACTTATTTATCCTATAACTGGATGTTTGTACCTTTTGACCACCTTCACCTGTTTCATGCACTCCCATCTCGCACCTCTGGCAACCACCAATTTTTTCCATATCTATGAGTTCAGTTTTTTTGGATCCCACATGTAGGTGAGATCATACCATATTTGTCATTCTCTGCCTGAGTTATTTCACTTAGCATAATGCTCTCAAAGTTCATCCATGTTGTCACAAATAGCAAAATTTCTTTCTTTTTTATAACAATAATATTCCATTGTGTATATATACCACATTTTCTTTAACCATTCATCTGTCAATGGACACTTAGGCTGTTTCCAAGTCTTGGCTGTTGTAAATGATGTTTCAGTAAACTTGGGGATACAGATATCTTTTCTTGATTGCAGAACTACCACAGTAGACGTCATCTCAATGTTTCATACTTCTCTTGGCCTTTAGGAAGATTTATTTGTATATCTGTGTTGAATGAGGGGGAAATTGGAAGGGATAGCAGTCTTGTAGGACTGAACTCTTAACTTGTAGGATCTGCATGCCATCTCCAGTTAGATAGTGTCATAATTTAGTTAAATTATATGACATCCAGCTGCTGTTGTAGAGTTGCTTGAATTGTGGAAAATTCACACATCTGGTGTGAGAAGTGAAGTAGTGTTGTAGTAGAGTATTGAGTGGAGGAGACATACAGGACTGGTTTTTCCTTTATACTTCTCTCCTAGTGCTTCTATGGTTTTGTTATGTACACTTGGACCTTTAATGCTTCTGTAGTCTGCTTGAAGATAGCGAGAGATGAGCATAAATGTGAATGTCCTAAGGTCTCAACATCAGGTAATAGTTTCTCCATACCTTTCATATACTAAATTTCCAACTGCAGGAATTTGTTTCTGGATTCACCAATAAGATTTGCAAAATAGATTAGGAATGTAAGAATTGCAGTGGAATTCCCTGCTAGAATGCAATGGTTAGATAAGCTTTCAAATAAGGTATGGCTGTGTTCTAAGGAAGAGGGTAGTGAGATTTTATAAAACACTCAAGGCTAAGCAGTATAAAATCAAGACACTAGTTATTTTTCTATAAATATTTACTTATTGACAGGAGAGATAAAGAAAAGTAATTGTTTCTCTAGTTGGAACGAAACCAGAGGTAGGTGTTTCTCTGATTTGTGGACATCCCAAAATTAAATCCAGATCCTCATAAGGACAATTTTTAGTTTTTCAATAACCTTCTCCCCCATCCCATTTTTTTTTAACTAAGACTAAGAAGAAATCTGCATTGTAAGATTGACAGTGATTCTCTTTCACTTATTGTCAAACACTTATATATAGATTAATGTGTCACCAGACATAGCCTTTTTGTTCACTTAATGAGTCATTATGTGTTTGAAAAATTAAGAACTGCTCAGCAATTGTGAGACCTAACATGAGAGAAGCATATAACCAGACTTAAGTAACACTGAGTAAATTAGATGTGCTGAAAAAAACGTAGGACATTCTGTCATCAATACAATAATGCACAAGGCTATAAAGGGGTGTCACTGACTAATTACCCTGAGGAACTCAAGGGAGGTTTGGAAGCATTTAACTGTCTCTCCAAATTGTTTTTTTTATTATATTAGGAGATGCAATCAACAACCACCCTGACCCAGACCAAGCCCCACTGCAAGAGCAGCGCCTGCACAGATGAGCCAAGAGGTGCCAGCTGAGCCTGCACAAGTGAATACCCACCTCTCTCCATCTGAAATAAAAGGCCCCTGCTTTCTCATGCTCAGGGAAAGCCATGACTTTGTAAATGATTCTGTGCGGTCTCCTATTTGCTGCAAATACACTCTACTTTGTGTGACTGCTACTTCTGATGGAGAGTCTGATTTTAACTCGCCAGGAAGCGAACTCGCTTTAGTTCGGTAACAGGAGTCCTACGAGGTAAAAATAAAGAACACTGTTTTATTCTGTCCTTCAGATTTAGTTACTGATCCATTGAAAGTTGTTCCACGCCAGGCTGTTGAGGATCTGCACTAGAGAAAGGGATTTGGCCACTTTTCATGGGAGTTTAAAAATTTACTGGCGATGCAAAATATTCCTGTGTATAATAACTAGATTACTGTTCTAGGAAATGAATGTGAGAATGGTAAGGTGAGTGGCACAGACAATAGCTTAGTGACACAGTAATTTCTGTGATTGTTCACTGAACACATGAATCCATGCTGTGGGAACAAGGTAATGAAGGAGGAGCAAAAGGCTTTCTGAGGAGACGCACATTAGCAATGAAGTGAAATGAAAGTGTTTTGTCATTTTACAGAAAGCAAGGGTCTTGGGGAGTAGGTCTGGCTTAAAGGAAGATTTAAGGTTGGAGGAGTTTGAGGACACAGTTGAAAGAAACCTGAGGAAGTCCCCTAAAGCCCCTTGTTCGAGACCTTGATATAGAGAAACGTTTCATGATTTCACTGATTGGCTTGGGAGGGTCTGAAGGAGCGTTGGAGAGTAGAGGGTAACCTCATGTTGGGTGGAAAAGGAGTTCTCTACTATTGAATTAAGTTGACTATGTGCAAACATTGGATATGAAGGAAAGCATTAAACCCAAGCTGTCTGAAGATTTGGCTCCTTTCAAGGAAAGAACTTTGTCCTCTATGGTCATGAGTCCCAGAACTGTCTCTTTTTTGGTGGATTTAAATCTCTAAAGTAGCCCTAGATCAAATTCTGTCTTCCCCCAAGGCCTACCTAAACATAATGGCCCTTCAGTAACATGAGAAAATTTCTATGACCTTCTGTATAGTATTAGAATACTTAAAAGCAATAGTTGGCTCAAGTTTAATTGTGTCATTGCAAAACTATGAGCTTAATAGGATCTTAGAAATCATCTCATCTCTTCCTAACAGATGGAAATTTAGGTAGAAAGATTATATTACATGCTGCATATTCAAGAATTCAGCTGTTTCTACTGAACTACAATATTATACCTAATTTTACTGCAAAAAAAGGATTTCCGACATTCTTGGATGTATAATACTTTGTCATTGTTGGTCTGATTGTGACAGTGCTTCTTCTAAAAATCCTAAAGACTTTTTATTTTCTCTTTGTTGAACTAAAATTGGACAGTTTAAAGATGATTAAAGATAACATGGGCTGTTACGAAACCAGAGATTTAACAAATGGTCTCACCAACAGGCAAGTATTCAAATTAAAATCATCTGAATAACATTAACTCAACATTTCTAAACGTGTTCAAAGGTTTCTAGCTTACAGTGACCCCTGGTGTTATTTTGAATAACACGCAGTATGCTATTCATATCTCTCATCTTTAAGACCATCTACTGAAATAGCTACTGGCAGGAGTAGGCAAACTCTATATGAAGCAGCTCATTCTCAGTGGCCCATGGGGTAAATAGCAAATTTCTCCACAGGCAAATAGATTCTGTGCACTAAACAAACAAAAAAGCAGTATTGTATTAGGTAATACTATATATACTATTTTAAAAATTTATAATAAAACCATTTGGGAACTAAATTCATTTTATCAAATCTCAATTATTAAAGCAATTGGAAAAATAAAAGAAGTTATAGGTATTTGAATTTATCTATAGCCTAATGTAGTAGAAGGCGTTATCCAAAAAGAGAGACATAAAATATAGATATTTTTCAAGTGTCTTAAAATTCCATAGTTATGCAGAATTGTGTGTTTCCCTAAGAATGGCAAATTTAAGAAATTGGTTGTCTATATAATAACATGAGACAAATCTAAATAACTCATACTGCATACCAGAACATTTAACTCTGGATGTGCTATTGTAATGAGAACCAAGTTTTCACCTCAAATCTTTCACGGAAAATGGTGGAGTGAAACAGGAGAGAAGGACAAACTGAGAAAAAAAACAGAAAGTAAGGAGGGAGGGAGCGATAGAGAGAGAAGAAAGGAGACAGAAAGGAAGGGGAGAGAAAACATACTATATGTTGGGCAAACTGTTGCCTCCTGAGCGTTGGAGCCTTGATCACCACCAAAACCAGTGGGCCCAGTACAATGCTGAAGGTGTTAAAAACGTATTCAGTGGTACTTGATAAAAAATGGTAAGTATGACTTCATTCAGGGGACCATTGTGATAGGTACAGAAACTACTATAATGGGATTTTGCAGTAGGGGAGAGAGATTGGGCTCACCTCTGAATACCACAAGGAAAACTGGAAATTTGTGGATAACAAGTAGAGTGGGGGTAGGGCAGTGGGTGGAAAATTACTAAGGGGTAAGGGGGGCTTCTAGCTAAACTGACCTAGCAGAATTCTTGATAAAATTGGACAGTGCAGAGACAAGCACAGAAGCCCAAAAGTTGAGGCCTAGTTGGGAAGAGGATTCAGAAGAGCCTGACTAAAGTTTGGTCAAAGAGAGACTCTTTGTTAAAGGGCCATGAAATACTGGCAATTTCAAAAGCTAAACTATCTAGAGCTGACTGATTAAAACTGCAGAATGCATGGGGCCAACCCCCTGGTGTAGTGGTTAAGTTGCTGTGCTTTGCTTTGGCAGCCTGCCGTTCAGGGGTTCACATCCTGGGCGTGGACCTACCACTGCTCATCAAGCCATGCTGTGATGGCACCCCACATACAAGAGAGGAAGACTGTCACAGTTGTTAGCTCAACAACAATGTTCCTCAAGCCAAAAAAAAAGGAAGATTGGCAACAGATGTTAGGGAAGGGCCAGTCTTCCTCACAAAGAAAATAACCAAACAAAAAATCCCAAAAAACTGAAGAATGTGTAATTTAACATGTATATTTCCTGGCCAATGTGTTTAGAATCAGGTAGATGGATATAGTGCTGCCAGCCTTAATTTCTTCTTTATAATCAGGCTTCACCACCAACCAGCCGTATGGATATTACAAAGTTGTATATAACTGCAAAGTATGATGTCACCATGACAGTCTGGAGCCCCTGGAGAAACACAAATTGGTAAGGTGATGTGTAAAGTTTATGGCCCAGTAATAAGATAAAACATGCAAATAGGTCTGTGTGTTGTTAAATTGAGATTATAAGAATGTTCCTCAGCCCTGGGGAAGCGGGTAGGGGTGTGAGCGAAAGGAGAAAAGGGGCACATCTGTATGGTGATGGCTAAAAATTAGACGATTGGTGGTGAGCACAATGCAGTCTATACAGAAACTGATAAATAATAATGTACATTTGAAATTACACAATGTTATAAACCATTTTGACCTCAATAAAATAATTGAAAAAAAAAAAAGAATGTTCCTCAGAGCAAAAGATTTTCTCTAGTTGCTTAGATTCCTGAAAATCTTTATTAGAACACAGGGTTCTTACTAAAATAGAAGAGATGATATAAAATGCAAATATTTTACTAAAGTCTTTGATTGCACTTATTTCCTTTCTTAAGAGCCTGAAATTGAAGGATGGGAGAGAAATGAAAGAAGAGGTTAAGAAAAGGAAAAAAAAATTGAAAAAGGCTGGGGACAATAAAAAGTAACTTTCTGTTACAAAATTTTCCTAGCAGCTAAGCCTACAAAAAATACTTTATCAGAAGCTGTTGGTTTGCTCTTACACAGAGGGCAAGGAGAGAGCAAAGAAAGAGGCAGACCACTTCAGATTGGTAGGTGGCAGCTTTAATAAGCAAGGGAATTTATTTATGAGGCTTGTCTTGGGCAGCTGCAAGATGAGTGTATACCTGGACCCACTCTCCAAATCTTAAAAGTTTAGATAGAGGTCTTAACTGGGTTCAGTCTCCTGTACCATCCAGGCGGTCTCAACAACACCTTACTCTCAAGGCTATGACCTTCAAATATTTGCCGCTGAGGGAACTGTGGGTGGATCTTACATTCCAAGGACAGGGGATGCGGAGAGGAGCCTCTAATTGCCTGGGTCCAGCTCCAGGGTCAACTGGTGGTCACATCCTCTTGATGACCTCCTCCAACAGAAGTAAGAAACAAGAGAGAATCTAGGGTGCTGAGTTAGAGGGACCCAGGGAGCAAATAAAGGGAGACCAAAGGTGGTCAAACGCCGTGTCCTCAGGAGAAAGGGACTGAAAAAGGATTCATGCCTTCTACACAGTGTTCCAAGGCATTGGTTTCTCAGAGATGGAAATTGTAACAATGTTTTTTCACTACCTAAGACCTCTGACTATATGGAACAACCTTGTAATTGTGCATGGGAGTTTGTTCATGACTTAATGTGAAGTGAGGGGAAGGAAAGAAAAAAACAACAGGTCTTCCCATGACAGTTTATGATTGTAAACTGTAGGAGCAAACCTGAAAAATTCTAAATATCTATCCATAATGGACCAATTAAAAAATTGTGTTATATCCACTTGGATATAATCATATTCCATATGATGGAATACTATAAAGTCATTGAAAGAAATGTAATAAAATCTATGTCTAGTGACATCATATATTATTTATATACTTAGAAAAACATCTGGAAGGAGAGAGATATATATATTTCCTTTACCATACCCTAGGTGATGTCTGATCACCCTGGCCTGCCTTCAGCAAGATTCCTGCTAGATCAGTGTGTATATATATATATTCATATATAAATGGAGAACAAGACAAGTCCTCAGATAACTTCAGAAAGGCGGGGTAGAAAGGTTTGTAGTTCCCTGAAAGTTCAGAGGACAAACAAATGACACTCAGTTGGATAGACCAGGAAAAAGAATTTTAAAAAATTGGTAGCCTTTTGAGAGGAAGGTGAGCAGAGAAAATTCTAGGAAAAGTAATAGCCTGAGCAAAGGCATAAAGCTGGAAGGGGGAAGGTTATTTCT